CTAGTAGTAACAGGTGCCACGCTAGTAGTAACAAGTGCCTTACTACTAGTAACAAGAAGCTAGTAGTAACAGGTGCCACGCTAGTAGTAACAAGTGCCTTACTACTAGTAACAAGAAGCTAGTAGTAACAGGTGCCACGCTAGTAGTAACAGGTGCCTTACTAGTAGTAACAAGAAGCTACTGACTTGGACGCAGCCGCCATGTTCGCTCTTTCGGTGTCGATCTGACCGACGGTGTCGATCTCGTTGGGTTCCCCCGACATGCGTTCGGACTCCCCGTAGCGGCTGCGCAAGCGATCCCGCTCGGCCTCGTGGGGCTTGGTCTCTCAAGTCTATTCGGTAGGGCTGATAGGGAATGGAAAAGGGTCGTTGTTGAAATTATATCCCACAAATTCCTAGAATAATAAAGGAGATCTTGGGTGAGTCGTTTGGGCGACCCCTTTCTTCAAACTAAACTGAAGTCACTTATCTTAACCTTCAGCGTGCATCCTCAAACAATTACTGCTGGCTTCTGCTTGCATACGGATTATAGGAGCTGTCTCTCGTCAAGGGAGAATCCGCATGGCCCGGTCTGACAGGACCACTTGCTACAGTGCCTACAAAGTTGACTGCGGTTAGCTGTGCTTCGAACCCTCATCGTTCAAGCCACCGAACTCATTCGCTCTCTTCCTACACCCCAGAGTTCGGAACATTTATCTCTGGTGCTCAGCATGCCCGCGACAGTGACAGGCGCCCAAGTCGGGCCCTTCGCCGTCGCCTCCAACTCCTTGACCTGGTCATGGAACCCCAAGTCGCGGCTTTTGGCCACCTGGAGCTCTTGGCCTGTTCGACTGACGGGGCGCGGAGAATCCGATGCTCTAGGTTTCACCGTGCTCACAGCGTCAGGCTTCCTTGGAGGCTCATAGCTGTTCTCTGTTCTTGCTGAGATAAATCACCTTCCGAGTGCCCGATGGAACGGTCAAAAGGCCCACTTAAGGTACTGTTGGTGTTTGTGGATCTTTACAAGAACATCAAATGCATTCAGCGAACCTTTCTCTGGCCCTTCTGTCGAAGCAGGAATTCGTCACCTCAACCCTCGGATAGGCTTACAACATCTTATAACTTTGGCCATCCAGAGTACACTGACCTTCCAAACCCCGTCCTTTTCTAAAGGTACAAGTACCATCAAGTACCTACACCTTCCTGGAGCTTCGACCTGTTGAGGCCGTTACGCTCCAAACAGAATGATCCGAAGGATCGCTGGTTTCGGGTTTCAGGGAACCACGATAAACGTCCTCGTGTTACACCTGTCATTCTTGCTCCTAGTAGCGATGCCAGGAGCCCCTAGTAGCTTCTTGTTCCTAGTAGTACGGCCAGGAGCCCCTAGTAGCGTCCTTGCTCCTGGACTAAGAATTGACAAAGAACATAGCAACCTCTCTTTTCAGCAAAAGAGCGAGTTCCCTCTTGGTGTTCCTGAAAGATCGGCACACGTGGAATACTAGCATATAGCTTCATTAGCTATCAAAACGAGCTATTTATGGTGAGTCTTCGCAATTTGTTCACGGAACTATTGCACACCATAGGCTACTAGAGTAAAGCAAGGACTTTGTGACGAAAGTGTTCCCATGGCTGTGCGGCTGTGCACATCGAGAATCGAGCGAAGGGATGCCCCATTGAAGGCTGGTGAGATCTCGGCGCCAGACGCAAATCACTGCACCTGGCTCGACATGTACCGAACGTCAAGTGGTGTGTCCGACAATCACAGAACCTATACTTGGGGAAGCAGGAAAGCCAAGGGAACAAAGATTTCTTCCTACAGCATGCTACTAGTTACTAGTTAGCATGCGGCTATATTGTTTGCATCATTCAGGGATCGGATAGCCCTCACGCAAAATGTTCGACAGTCACCGACCGTACCCGATCTGCCTCTGGCAAATTAACAACCCCAGCGACGTTTACGTTTCAAACATTTGCATAATTTTATTCTACAATGTCTGCAAATCGTACAAATTCCCCATTGGACGGCCACGTCCACAAACGACTCGTCTCTGTATGGTGTCTCAGATCTGCAACCAATTCCTGGTGGCTGAGGCTGCCGCTGCTGCTCCACCGTGACAATCCTCGCCGCCCGCCAGCGTTGCTCCGTTCGATGTGTGGAGTATTTAAGGAATTTTAAGGATATTAGATAACGTTCTTGTTCCTAGTAGCGTTCTTGTTCCTAGTAGATCTAGTAGTAAGGCCAGGAGCCCCTAGTAGCGTCCTTGCTCCTAGTAGCGATGCCCTTTGCTCCTAGTAGCGCTCTTGTTCCTATAGTAGTATATAATGACATTTCAGGGTCCGGGGTCTTCGGAATTCCATCAGGTGTGAAGCTGTTGACGAACAGCTTTGACTCTCCATCTCAGAGCATCCAAGTCTGAAGTTTGATAAAGAACCTCCACGTTCGTGGGCAACAGGGCAAATGTTGAACGTGCTTTTCTGATTTCAGAAATGCATGAAAACATATGAACACTGAACAGCCCCAAAAGCACTGCAAATTCGGTGCATCTCCACTCCCATCAAGCATTGTTCGGAATCTACGGCCTAAGCGAATTCTTCTTCTGCTTCAGGCAGCAAGCCAAACAACACCGAAGATCCAACACTTAATGCTAGCCAAGCTTCAATGTCTCCAAGCGGACACGGTCTGCCTTGTTTCTGCAGACTGTTATATAGGTTTGAACTGTACCGGCAAAATATGGAAACATTATATAACATCGCCTTACTTTTCATAGTCTTTGACCGATACAGCAATTCCATATGCAATGGAGTTCTTTCCCTTGGCAGTTTAAGCCAAGGTAGAAGTTGTCACCCTGTTGAATCAGCAAGTATATACCGGCCTAGTTGAACCACTACATGCTTTATAACTCAAAGACAGCTTCAGTGAGTCAATGGCACCCACCGCCCATGATCTTAGCAATTCGGCTTTTCTGCGGGTCCGTTTGAGATCGAGCGCCAGATCTGCCTAAAGGACATACTGACATAGTGCTAAGCTGCTTAAAAAGCCGGATACACCGAAGGGTAAGAGACAAACCACAAAAGGCGTCGGTCAAAGACTAACCAAATCACGGGACAAATATGAATGACATGCATGCTTCTGTAATGCAAGCACAGACTATGACCGTTAAATCAAAGTTCAGCATTGTTCTTTGAATAGTGTCTATACAGTATCTGAGCTTCAACACCTCCGCACGCTGGAGCTGTTTCTTGGCCTTGCCAAAAAAAAGAAAAAAACACCACTCACCCCTGGTTTTGATTCCAAAACCATCCATGGGCATGCAGGTACATGTTCTTATATGTTCTTCAGTGATTATGCATGTTTATGAGTAGAATGACAGTCCATGAATCGGTGTACATGTAATTTTCAACAACTGCTGAACACTAGTCCAGTGAGCTCATCCAGGCAAGGATGTATTTCAATTTCAAGATATTTTGTTGCACCTCCTCTTCTTGCAGCCTGCTGCTTGAGAGCTCAGCCTGGAAAAGTTCGAGCGACTTAAAGAGTCATTGATTGAATAACAAGTCGGGTTTTTGTTGCAAGCCCCTTGGAAGACCAGCCTGGAAGACCAACCTCAGCCTGGTCTACTTCCTAGCCACTAGTCTCATCTCCCATGCTGCACTCGAGTTACTGTCTGACACGACCAAGCATTCGCATCCCCAAAACTGCACACGTTCGGACTACGTATCTAACTTCTCATCAATGATTGATTCATTTGAGTCACCAAGTTGCCGTGCAATTGCTGACTGACAAGTCCCAGCGTCCACCGCAGTTTTCTCTGCGCTGTTTTTCTCTGCGGATTCCTATCGGTATCCGACCATCGCGGGGTGTGGTACACCCTTGCCACCGACCGGCAGGCCGTCTTTCAGCCACGGGAAACGTTGACCTGCGAGGGCACGAGGGCACGAGATGGCGGCTCCAGGAATCCGGCTGAATCCATCGGCTTGACACTTATGATCCCGGCTACTTCATGAAAGGAAATCACTCCATGAAAAATCCTTCAACCAATAATGTTGCATTCCCATGCATGGCCGAATTCCCTGCACTTGACACACAAAGTGTGTCCAAGTGTCATTACATTACTAAAGAAACATATCAGTCACCCTCAGCGCCAAAAATGCAACACCATAGCCTGCGAAAGCCTGCGCCCTGTCCGCATCTCAATTGAAGCTTCAGAAAACAATCACCACCAAACACTCCCACATCCGGCCTTTTCCCTTGCCACCGTCAATTCCTTTGCCCGTGGCCAAGCCCATCCGTCGCCAAAAACCAGGCTCTTCCTGGGAGCACAGCGCTGCTGAGATCTCACAAGGCTTAAACGATATCACCAAAGGTTTAGCCAGCTAAATCCGGTCTTCTCTGGCAACTTGAACTGCTGGGCGTTGACTGGAACTTTGAGATAGAGCATTCTTCAAACAGTGTACTACTTGATACTATTTGCATCGCGAACAAAACCATTTCATATATATAATAACATCAAGTCCAAATCAAAGGAGTTATTCTCACGCTCCGCTAGCGTCTAGCATACTATAGCATGTTCATAAGCACTGGACACTGTCAACAAGCCTGTTGCAATGCCCTGAACCCAAGTAAACTGAGAGGTAACTCTTTGCCTTGTGGTGAGGGGTTGACAGTTCCTGTCGGACCTGAGATTGTGTCCAAAAGAATCGTGTCAGTCATGCACACATACGCATTTATATATATATATATATATGATTATAAATGCAATTCAATGCACATACATGCAGAGATGCCAAGAAATCAGGCATAAAAACATGGAATCCATGGTTCATCATGGTTCGGAGAACTTGTCCACCTCCAAACACCCTAACACCCTATAGAATTGATTCCTGTTGACAGCATATAAATATGTCTCTTCTGCGAAAGATCCCGGTGATAACACTGGCCACGTGCCAATGCCCAATATTGCCCTATACCAGTCCTGGCCAATGACATCCAATGACCCCTTCTCCACCCTGTGGCCCACACAGTGCCATGCCGACCGTCGCCGGCACCGTAATTCGTGCGCTGTGCCGCAATTCCCGCCACCGCCCAAAAGGTCACTCCACAACATCAAAGCGCCTCCACCGGACGATGAAATCCCAGCTTTTCCCAATCTACCTGCCGGGCGCTCGACGCACGTGTGAGGCGAAACTCGCCAGCGCCAGTGCCTTGCCGGAGGCGTCGTGACCTCCACGCTGGGCCACTTCCATTGGCCTTGGAACGAGCCAAATGGTCGAACAAGTTTCATCAGTTTCATGCAAATGACTAGGTTCCAGGTGACAATTAGATGCTTCCTTTCACCAAGAGTGTGACTTGGAATGCCAGGGTTGTGTCTGCAAAAAGTGAGACAACCAAGCGGATCATGATCAGGGTCGATGACTATATATACCGAAGCATCAGAAGACCCGAGCTTGTTTGACGATAGACAGCATCTGTCAAGTTTATATGACGTGGAATTGCAAGATGCTCAACGATGCTCAACGTGTTTTTTTAGGTGTTTCATGTTTTTCCCGGCGCACATTCATGCGCATCATGCAAAGCACGGTCATGTGACCAGTGACCACCAATCCCAAAAGATTCCAAAAAGGGTGGAATTCTTCTTCGTCTGATTCGCGGCTCAAAAGAACGAACGAAGGGGTGCTGGAACTCCACTGGCCGCCGTGGGCTGCTCGGGCTGAAAGCGGAGAGAGCTTTGAGACGCAGGCAGCGGAACTGGTCCATCAAGGGAAGGACCTCACAGTGGAACTCGCAGCGGAACGGTGATGCGAGGCAAAGCAATCCAAGTAGCTCAGCTCCGAAATCATGGGTTCTATAAGTCTGTTGTGGTCGACTGTCAGAGATGCTGCACAAGGCATACTGAAACTATACAACAAGAAGTACTATAATAACAAATAAGACTAAGATCATCTTTAACTATATAACTCAGCAAACCCAAGCTAAATGGAAGACATTCTGTTCAACGCATTCTGTCAAAACGGCTCGGAACTGAAAGGCTCTCGACTTTCGGCCGAGCTCGGTGGAACTCAGGGCTGCGACGGGCGAAGGTGCCTGTTGTGGGACCTGCGGTGGCGTAGGTGGATCCCAAACAGGCTTTGGATTCCAGGACCCAGGGACCAAACATGACAGGACTCTATAAGTCTCTACTGTATGTATATATATATACTATATACACTTGGTATAGTGACGTGTTGTCATATGCTGCAATTCATGCAAGGATGCTTCACCAGTCGGTACCGCTGGTAGTGTGATGAAAACACATGAACACAACCTAAAAAGTTACCCCGCTAGTTCAGCCCGAGCACGGTGTATTCGAAGAACAAAAAGACCTTGTTGCTGTAATCTTCTAGACCGGTGTACAGCCACTAACCCTTTCAGGCCTCGGATTTTCTTCAAGATCTCCTGACACCTTGGGAGTTGGAAAGTAAGGGAGCTGTGGGATTCTGCCATGGATCTTCCAAACTTTCCAGTGACTCATAACCCAATGGAGATTTCCCAGAGGATTTTCTCACGCAGATCTCGAAACTCGTTTGAGCTTTCTCGTAGATGGGACATGTATTATGTATGGACTTACTGTTGGATTCTGGGTTCACACGAAAATGCTAAAGGAAGCCGTTGGAAGCCCAAAGTCGATTCAGGAACACAAACACCCACAAATCTTCCCTTCAGCTACTTGTTCGGCGAACCACTTCCAATGAACAAAATTATCCAAACATCACATGGTCGACATAGTACACCCAGTTCAAGATAGTGAAAGCATGCCAAAGGTACCCCAGGAGGTCTACCAAGTACTTGTTCAGGTGTTTGGACTCCCTCCAAAACCCACAAACACCTTCTCCGGATGTACCGAAGGGGTACCGAGTCGGGGTCCCGAGTCGGGTGTCGGAACACAGCATCGACGCCCACGTCACTCATCGAAGGCATCGCGTGTCATCCGCGGCAAGGCCTCGAGTCCCACAGACTGACACGCAGATCTGAGTGCTTAGTATACGGAACCCCAGATCTGGGACTCATTCCCCCATTCCCGACTGAGCACCAGTCGGAAGATTGTGGAAAATTCAGATTTGATGTCGTTGATATCATTGATATCCATTGATCCAAGTGGGAGAATCATATTGATTGAAACCGTGATCGGAAGCTGTCAAAATGAGTGGACGTATTCAAATTCCTGGGTGTTTCAGAGTCTTTCTCTCCGTTTGGGAACAGCTTTATGGTTGACTTTCATTTGCCACTTGCAATCTGTCTGGGCTGTCAAGCAGGTCATATCCAACCCAGGTGCTCGAGATTCAACCACTTTACAGTTTCACTCTTTGCCGTATATGATCTTCTAGCCTCAGCCGCTTTTTCTCCACAACCGGTAACCCTGGTTCTGGTTCACATCTTGCAGCGCCTTGGAGGCAGTGAAGGACGCCTGGAAGAAGCGCTCGCTGCGCACCTTGCTGTTATTGAAAAATGCAATCACATGCAACCACACCCGGGTCACTTGAAGCTACAGAACGCCCTCAGTTCCTGAGTTCCGTCTTTTGACAACACTCACTCGGTAGCTAGCTCGGCGGTAGCTAGAGGTGTGAAAGAGGTGGAAATGTGGTTTGCATAGATCTGGGCAACCTCCAAAACCTATGGGTGTGATACGAAGACAGATTACACAACATACATATTATATTGCTTGACTTGTTACCTGATAATTATATATACTGTATCTCTCAGTCCCAATCGCTTGATCGACTGTGATTCTTCTGTGTGCCGGGCCCCTTTGTGGAGCTTTGTGATCTTTGCCATCTCCTGCAGAAACTGTTGCTAGGCTTCAGCCCCGCAAACAGGATGAAGTTCCGCCAGGCGGATGTCGTAGGGAGTCGCCAAGTGCGCGATCAGGACAAGCGGATTGCACTGACCGCTTGAGGCCAAACCCAGCTTCCAAAGTGTGATCCTCAACAGCTCAAGACCAAACCTTATGGTCCAGCACCTTAATCCACCAAAAGATTCCCAGAAATATTCATTCACCGCAACTGGCTGAACACCACTGGACTCCATAAACCCCTGTCTGTTAAAACAGAGTCCTCGTTGGAGAGGCTGAAGTCAAAGACATCAGTGTTCTCTTCAATGTGGCTGGGATTCCAGCCTCAGTCACACCGATTCCTGTAGGTGTCAGGCAACGACGATGCTCAGCACAATTATCACAATGCCAACATCCTATAGCTTTGACAGCAGTCCAAGCATGCATCTACCACATTGATGATGCAAACTGTTTCTCGATCACAGCACGGTTGACAATACTGGATATCAATGTTGGTGAGTGCAATTATGTCATCCTTAATGGAATGCAATGGAATACATCTTCGGGTGCAGTGATTCCTCAGGGCCCTGACTCTTGGGGATGACGATGTGTCCTCGCTGAAGATTCCAGCGAAGAGCTACCTGGAGTTCCGGAAACTTCAGGGAGCTGTGTCTTTTGAGCTGTGAAACTTCATGGCAAAATTGAATTTCTGCATCTGTGCGGGTGATTTATGAACACATATCAACACCAAGCTGAGGGGGGTCGACTTTCCTCGAAACCAACTGATCGGGGTCATATATATATATTATACTATATATAGAGAGATCCAAGATCTCGTCTTCTTCACGAATCTCAAGAAGTCGCTCTTGTGGCAGCTTTCGCAAGATCCAAATCTCAGTCTTGTCAGAGATACTGCTTGTTTCAACTTGTTTACAATTTGTTTACTATTCTTCTCTTTCTGTGGGCACAGGCCTGACCTCCCCGTACCCTTTACAGTATAGGGCCTCTTCTGCTTTGCTGTGAGAAAATTCTGCTGGAAGGTCAATCCATCGATCTCGATTTCCCCACCTGCGCAGTGCTCTTCCCATGTCGCTGGGCGATCTGCTCCAACTGTGGCAGCTCGGGCACCTCGAGCTCGGCTCCCAGCTTGAGCTCGGTCAGTGCGGTGGGCGCTACCCCCCCGATCCCCCCGGTGGATCTGTTACGAGTGGCAGTGGTTGAAAAAAGAAACACCCCATCGCCACCAAGTGGGTAAAGACCCCAAGCTTAGCTCGGCAGATTGGACCCCTTGCACTCGGAAGTCCCACATGGCACGGAAGCTAAACATGGGAAGACCATCGGTCGACCTTGCCGAGTGTTTTCCCAGGGTATTTCTGATCCCTTAGCCCCTGCTGATCCCTGCTGCATGGCAAACCTCCCCGTCTCACAGCCTTCAGCAAACGTCGCATCTCCCTAGCATCGGACTTGGTGAGTACCTGGCGGAGCAGCTGTGACCGGAACGAAATGAGCACAGCCTGGTCTTAGGCAAGGGTAAAAACAAGCCCTCCAAATGCATGGTCAGTGAACACGTTCAGGAAGTGTCTGTTCATCTTGGAATGTTCACCTGGACCCACAGCCATATCATGCATTGACCTGCTCGATACTCTTTTGGTTTTGGTTATCCTCCTAAAGGTTCTTCCAATAACCTGTACTTTCTAAAGTTCGTTCCTACAAATCAATCAGCTATTTTTTCTTAGCGTCTTAGCATGGGCTGTTCCGATGCAATGAATCTTTGCAGCCGTGCCTTCATGAAGCTTTCCATCTTTGCAGGTGATCCCAAGGGTGCATATGCCAGCACCTGGACCACGGGAGGCCAGGACATCATTTTGAAGATCCAAATCCGTTGAACACGGAAGACGAAAAGGGAGTGGACACATGAATGCCACATGAGATCGCTTGGATATCCTAAAACTAGGATGATGGTGTAGAGCTGAATTAAATACTTGGCGACGTTCATGATTGCTCAAAAAAAAATATGTCATCATCAAATTGAATTGTCGTCGTCATCATCATGATCATGCAATCCTGCTGCCACGGGTAGACATATCTGCTTCGAGGTCCACACCAACCCAACCATTCATTCCTATCTCATTTTCTAGTTAATTATAGTCCCTCCCGCGTTCTGTTGGTCTTGGCAGAAACAACTTGTCAGAGTTTCATTGAAAGCACTTGGGAGCCAACGTTGAACATATGCAAACACCCTACGCCCAAACTCATAGAAATATGAAGGAATATGAAGAAATGCAATTGATGTTGAAGCCTTCAACCTGTTAGCAACACCCAAAACCATCTCCACAAATTACAAATATCAGGCCCCAAATTTACCGGGACACCTTTTCCTCACCTGGCAGAGTTTCTTTTTCTCGCCTGGATACCCAAGGTCTCGCAAAGGTCGCACATCTCAATGTTGCTGTTCAGAGGATGCACCTGCCAGGCAGCTTTAGCCTTCTGTCCGCTCGAAAAGCGCAGGGAGAAGCACCAGGCCCTTCGTCCGTTTGTCCGCCTTGAAATGCACAGAAGCCTGGCCTTCGGCCTTTGGCAGCCTTGAAATTGGTAGGGAACATCCAACGCCAAGCAGTCACTGATCATGGAAATGCTCGACCAAGTCATGCGGTCCCAAGGAAACCACATTCCACTATAGATTTTGGGGATGCCATTGTTCAGCAAAACGGTCTTTGCCCGCTAGCGACGGATTCTCCCGGTTCGGGAAAATACCCCGCAAACCATCCCACGGACTCTGAGAAGAACGCCCCCCTAGTTTTTTCATGTTTTTTTTTGAATTTTTCCTCCACAACCCAGTTGGTTCGACGTGGTCGAAAAACCTGCAGGTGGGAATGGATTCAATCACCATCTTTCACCCGAAAAGTAACAAGGGCATTGCTACTATACTAGCAAGAAGCTACTATTTAGTAGCGATGCACGTGTTACTTAGTAGCATCCTGGTTACTAGTAATGCACTTAGCTACTAGTAGCTTCTTGCTACTATAGTACCAATGCCCTTGTTACTTAAAAAAGTGGACCGCCATCACCGCCACCATCCGCCGGATCGCACCTCCAAGGCCATCACCGCCGGGGGGACCTTCACCCGCGAGAGGAAGCTGCGGAAGACCTCCGTGCAAACCTGCGGTGCCAAGATGTGCCAAGGAGCATGAGGTTGAGAAGAATCGGTTGTGAAACTTTTCAAGTCAAGTAGAGTGAATTCACCAGGTCCTCTAGATAGTTGATGTCAAAACACCCGAAACTGAACTGTTGATTCCTCTAGATCTGCCTTGCAACAATAGAGTGATCGCAAAATGACACCAATCATTCTCCTGTTTGTCATTGAGCCTCCCAACTCCTTTAACTGCTAAATGTTCAGTTCGTCCAAAGTCCTCGTGGCTGAGGTATATGCAAGATCTTCTGGTGACTGAAAGCATACATGCCAAACTCCAAACTTCTCATTTTGGGAGGTCCAGCCGGCATCATCCATGTACATCCCACATGAAGATATTTGATCGGTACATTTCAGCACGTCATGCTGGTATGCAAGCTGTTGTCGGTGGGTCACTGCCTGGATAGTTGGATAGTCGTCAACGTGCAACCCAAAACTTGATGGTTACCCTTTAGCGGCAAAATGTCTACATGAAGCCCTAGATCATCATAGAGCACCTCAATCAAAACGGTAGCAAAGTCAACACAGTAGCACAAGCAGCATACAGTAACCCCAGAATGGACTGACTTACAGATTCATGATGATTCATTGTAACTGTATGAAAAAGGTCCTCCTTTTCAAAACCAGTTCAACCTTGCAAGATTTGGACCTCCGTACGAATCCGTTCGATGTCTTACGCGTTCGAATCTGTTCGATGCGCCTTGGGCCCCAAGAGGTCAAAGTTGGCGACCCCCAAGCACCGGGCACGGCCGTCCCGGATCACCTGGCCGTCTCAGTTCGCGCGTTTCTCTCAGGTATTTATCCGTAAGGACCCTTACGGTGTGTTTTATCTGTCTTTTTTCTTATGTTATGTTCTTTTTTTTGGGGGGGGGGGGCGACGTAGATGCGACCAGGTCCGATCAGTTTCTTGAAACACTTCGACTTTGGAGTTGGATATAATATATATATATATATAACAGTGTATATATACATATGTGTGTGATGTCTTTGACTTGCCCACCTATTTCTCTGTTTATGCCACCCCCAAAGCCACCCAGCCTTATTATATGTGTCTCATTGATGTATTTTGCGTAGCCTTTGGGCATGAGAAATGGCTTTCCAGTTTCGCCGGCACTTTCTTTTGCGCACAACTTTGCTGATCCAAAGCCTCTCGTGTTGGCACTACCGTGGGCATATCCACAAGGGCAAGCACAGCTACTGATCAAACACCATCAGTCTGAGAGTATGGAGAGTGGGTAAAAATCTTCCAAATGGTCCAACAAACGGTCCACTTTGTTTAGTTTGCAATAGTTTGCCACTTGCCCTTGGTTGTTTGCTGAAATGTGGAGCGTCCATTCCAAAACCACGGCTTAGTTTTGCTCTGGCAGGGCCAGCAGGGCAACCAGCGCTCAGGGCGCACTATCCAAAACGTCCGGAGGGGTTGATCTTGGCCAAGGAGGTCTTCTTGAATCTGTGCAGCACCGCTGCTGCAGTAAGAACTTGGGATGTCTGGCTGGCGATGCGCCAGGAACCGAGTATCTGCTCGGGAGCGATGGTGTCATAGTCAATGATCATTCCAATCTCGGATTTGCTTAAGGGACCCAGAAAGAAATCACCAGAAAGGGATGGTTTACAGAAAATACATATCGCCCTAATGGGGCTTTGATGTCCTCGGTCATATCCAAGTGTTTGAGGAACAGCCATTCCGGCCATGCTTTTTGGATTTTGAAGACAGCAGCTTGCTCGTGGCATGCTCCCCGCCGCCTGTAGGCCTCAGCAATCTCTGCGGTTCTTCTGCTTGCTTTCTGGGAGTGACGAGGGAGGAGTCGTCTCCCAGAGTTTGTGCAATCCGGTCCGTGGCCTCAATGAAAGTCTAGATCAGCAGAGCGGGTTGCGCTGGCAAACTCCTTGTGATACCTTTTGGCATAGTGGTGTTTCTATCACGACGGCGCCACCAATCTAGACACCACTAGAGGCCGCTCGAAAAGAGGCCGCTGGCTTGCTATCGCTTGCGAAGGGCTTTAGCCCAATTTCCAAATGGAGCCACCTAGACTCCGCAATGCCAATCTTTTCTGCACAGAGCCACAGCCGGCTTAGGCAAATGCACTGGATTGAGTGTTACGAACCACCAAAAGCGAGGGTGCGGTTTTGTTTGGGGAATTTTTGGCGTTGCGTTTGGGGTTTGTGTTTTGCGGACGTGGTTTCTCTATAGTGGTTCCTCCAGTGGAAGTGAAAGGCTAGCTGTTTGTAGAATAAATAACTGTCCAGGAGGCCAGTTCCATGACCGTGACTTTTTGAGGGCATCTATATAGGGCTTGCGTGCAACAAATGCAAAACAACTGGACCACGAGGCAGAAACAAAAACAACGAGTCCGACCGCAGGGCAAACAAACATGAAAAAAGTGCATCATAGTCGAGAAGGGAGTAAAGTAAAGAATGAATGCATTTGTTAATATGATGCACTTTGGTTGTCCCTTAGTTGAAACAAAACACTACAACCAGGAGAACAGAAAACACACATCAAAAGTAGAACAAAAATGTAGAAAGCCGGAAATCAAGGCTTGAAAAGCAACAAACCAAGCGATGGCAACAAAGGCCCTCCCTAGAAAGCAAAAGCAATGAACACGAAGAAACAATATGTCACAAGAGGACAAGAAGCAGGAAAGTGAAGAAAAGCAGGAGAAAAGCTAGGAAGAGCAAGACGAGCATTAAAAGAGGAGGAAAAGCAAGAAAGCAGGAGACATCGCAGGGAAGCAATAATAGCAAAGGAAAAGCAATACAAGCACAAAAGACAACAAAAGCAAAAAGAGCAGGAGAAATCATAGAGAAGCAATGAAAAGCAATAAAAGCAAATCCAACAAAAAAAATACCTAAACACAACGCAAAATTCCCCTAAAAGAATAGCCCTTGAAAAACCGCCACGAACCGAACCGACAGACCGACAGCGGCATCTTTTGGACAAACGGATCGCTCCTCAACAGATCCCGACAAATCCCTGGTCCGGATCGAGCCGCCCTCCCCATTCGGCCTCTTCGAAGAAAGGCCAAGCGGAGGGCACTTGCCTCACGCTCTTCCCATCGGACAACCAGCTGGTCAAGATGTTGGGTCACTCACCAACGCCAGGTGGGTCACTTGGAGGTGCCCTTCGTCTTTGATGTAGTCACAATATGGAAACTAGGTGAACCTTTAAGAAGCCAAAAAGAATTGCATCTCCAGCCAACAAATCACAAACCGGAACATCAGAAGACCATAATATTCTAACAAAAATAGTCACACAGAGACCATCAAAGACCCCTGATTTCAGTGTAGTAACTCCGAAACTCCACACTTGTTCAACCTATCAACATCTTCAAACACATACCGGCTCTCAAAGGGCAGTGATTCCATGAAATTTGTCACTACAACAGTGAGTCTTAAATTAATGATGTTTATCGTGCGCAGTCATTGTTGAATCTACCGTCTATGCTAGTGTATTCTGCACTACCTTGGATAGACAAAACGCAGGGAATCCGGACTCTGGTGGACAATCTGCGACCAAGACGTCGACATAGTCCACTTTCAGTTCACCTCACTGCATCTGTTCAACCAGCAAACACTGCGTCGACCAGCTGTGAGAACACATCCACAGACCTCTGAAAAGCATTGCACAGCAACACTCAATGACGTGCAGACTCTGAAACGCTTTGAGAAAGATCCAGAGATATATTGCACAATCCTCCGCATGCTGTCATGCTGCACTGCTGGACCTCCAGTGCCACGAACTAATTCAACTCATTGGACTCCTGAGGATTCATTGAACCATATTGAACCTCAAGAAATACAGGTTGTGCAGCTGTGAGTTTGATGTCTTCTAGAAATGTCGCATCTGTCGATTCATCCTGTCCAAGGCGCTCAATAGCATGTCGACTTCCCCACGGATTTGCTCACGATCCTGCACAGCACGGCGCTGAAGGCAGGGCTCAGGGCTTTCATGTTCGTGGCTTCAAGGGTGGTAGGTTCTCAACCTTCCTGGTCTAAAAGGGATGCGGTGAGAAATCTTTCAGATCTCAGAGTGTTGCCTAAGTTCCATTGGAAAGAAATTCACCACCTGACTCATGACAACTTTTCTGCTTTCCTGTCACAACCACGCATTTCACAAGACAACAACACTCAAAAAGAGCTGCTGGGGGAGCGGGGACAAGCAAGTCATCAACAACAAGAGAGAGAGAGAGAGAGAGAGTCCGAAACAAATGAACAGCTACATGACTCGTCATATCAACAATGAATAATAGCCAATAAATGCTGATAGCTGCATGAATGGGCATATCAACAGTCCTCACAAAAAAAAGAAATAAACTGAACATTGGCTGTTTGTTGTTGGACTCTCTGAGAACGAGTTCGCGGCCGTTCCGCGGGGTCCTTGCACTTGTAGATGCGGCCACACAGGAAGACTTCGCTGCGCTTCAGCACACCTTTGCTTATGGCCTGAGGTGTTCGCTCGGGCCGACCTGAACAACAAAGAAAGGGAGATAAACTTCAGAGAAACCTTGATCAACAATTAAGAAAGCTGTAGCTGTTCGAGCTCTCCCTCCCAAGATTTTCCTTCTGATCTTGAAATGTCTCATTCTCTTTCTCCTGGGAGCCGGGCTGTCTCAAGTGCTCGTCCAAGGCTTTGTTGGTTCATGTGGCCTGGTGTGCACGGTATGTGCACAGTGGATAAGGTTCGCCTTGCCTGCTGCCTTCTCCTTCAGGCTTTGAAACTCAAAAGGCAGTCGGAATGGTTTATGGTACTTGAGGCGGATAAGGTCCTTCATGTGACAAGGTCCGCTTAACGATTATTTGACCATTTTTCTGTAGTGGCAATGGAGATGGGTTCCAAATAGTACACCCTAGATACCCCATGATAGACCTAGGACTTCGACCTAGTATATAGCTTGCCGATACCCCACCCCAAGGCCTTGCAACAAGTACAGCAATTGGTGAAGTGTTGACGTTCTATATTGATAAAGTCGATAGATTTCGATCCAAAGTTTGTGAGAATGTTTGAGACAGTTCTTGAATGCTTTCAGCATGGGTGCCCTTCCAGCATTGCTTCAGCATTCCAAGAGGTTGGTCTTGCGAGCAAACATGATGCGCTTATGGTCACCTCAGCTACTCAGCCTGTCCATGGCAGGATCAGTAGTGTTTCCATCAGCTGTTTGATAGACTCAGTGGATGTTTGCTTCCGTCTTCATGCTAAGCATGCTGCTTTGTGCACTGATTTGTGGTCACCCAATTTGTCCACTAAACGTGCCGGTCTGCACGGTTGCCACTGTCCAGTAGCCTCACTCCACAGGAAAATGCTGCCTCGACAGTTTGGATTCATGCAGCAAAGCGCTTTTCATGCCGATCAAAAATCAGAGAAGCGCTTTTCCCGATGAAACTTCTGGGGGTTCAAACATGTCAACACAGCATCTATCGACCTCTTGGACTCGGACTGCCCGTTTACTACACGTACTGCTGTACAGCTTTCGTTGAGTAGCGTCCCCTCAATCCAAGCTCTTACTGAATTAGACAGGTTTATGCGAGCAGTCAATTCCTACATGCCTACATATATCAAATATACACAATTTATCACAATGTAATAATGTATACAAGTTGAAGGAAGGTACCCACTTGATCTGAATAAGAAAAGGAACATTGCTTTACATTGCTGGGTATGTTCTTCTGAGGTCCTGCTATATGCGCAAGCTGTCATACTGAGTGATTCTTCGCAAGCCCGGCCCAGCTCCTTTGCAACAAGTTCGTCCAATAGGGACTCCCAGTTTTTCACCTTCGTGGTTATGGATCAACGGAAAAAATCAACAAAACATGTTCAAGTTCAAGTTCAAACCCCATCAAGTCGCGTAAACAACTAACCTCCGCCATCCGCCTCCAAAATTTGGAACAAACACACCGAAAAAGGGGTGCATCTGCCTAATCAAGTCGAAATGTTCAGCATCCGCATTCCACGCCTCTAAAGCCTCTCGCGTCAGCTCATCCACCCGCTGGTAGTATTCCTCATCCGAGAGGCGCTCCTGCAAATCTTCTGGCAAAAAATGACCTCAAATCCACGCCCAAGCACAGCACGGACGTGGATCAACGACTTGGGCAGAAAAATTGTCTAAAACACCAAGATATGCCTGTGTCAACAACTGGCGTAGCTGGAGGTGCAATTCCTAGGCACCCGTTGGGGTAAAAAGGCAATCAAAAGTTCGTGATCATCCCTTTTGATTCACTGACTTGGTTTATATGACACATGAAGAAGAAAAGAGTATTAAACATAACAATCCAATCCTATGAAACTCCAACTCGATCCAGACGCTTCCATGTACTGAGTTGAGCCATTTGGATGGCTGGACGCTGTGATCCGCAGTGAAGGGAGATTTGGGCAATTTCAAGAGAAGCTGGAATCTGGCCCAGGCAGCAAACGCAGCAAGTTGAAAGTAGCAAGCCCAAGAAAGGTAAGACCAATCCACCAAAACTCAATGGTTAAAAAGAAAGCCTTCAAACTACGCACAACCCTTATTTTCCAACTACAACAATGATAGCAGAAGGTGTAATCCCTTGTCCAAGAACATCCTTGTAACTGTCTTTAGACCGTGGGAGTGGGATGGAGTGGGGAGATATCTAAGCTTCTCCCCATGCATTTCTGTGTGATACTTGTTCTACGGAACCAGTGATCGGAATGGTCATGGGGGCCTCGACAAGCCATTGCACCTTGGCGTCCCCACTGCCAAAGCCGAGCACCGGAATGTCCTGGCGAACCCTCACCCTCCGCTGTGATGTGGGGGAACCTGGTCTTCTATTGTAGAGCAGTAGTTCTTGAGTCTTGATCAGTGGGCCTACCCCATTTTGGAATCGCCGTGCCTTGATTGTTGGTTGCCCTCTGTTCAAGCAACCTGCCGAAGAATCCCTTCCGCTGTAATGGCTTGGCCTGAAACATGGCGCTCTATTTAATTCAATCCATTGGGCAGAACACTTGGGCCAGGCCCTGCTTCCAGCACCTTCCAATGACTTGTATACTGTATATACTCATCCCCTAGTGATGGGATCGCACCCTTGTGGCCAGAAGAGCACACCAGTGCTGATCTCAATAATTGAAATTCAATTGGTCCATTTCCAGCCTCCAAAATATGTGATGTTTCTGCACTAATAGCGATGGCCTCCAACCTAAAGAGCAAAGGCCTCCAATGCCAAAAGGAAACAAGAACCCATCAAGTTCGGGGACGCTGTGACCGTTTACCGCGATGGCTGCAGGAATTGTGCGGCCTGCGAGGCCTCGGAGGGAGCTGTGGACCTGAAAGCTGACTTCGGCCGGGGGGACGGGTAGATAGATCAACTTAAGCAGGTGGTCTATATTTACAAATTTACTATAATTAATAGAGTTATAAATAGAAACTATATAGTTATTCTGGGTAATATGGGTTTGTATTGAAATAGATACTCCCAACAAATTGGTTGTTGGTTTTGATCTAGTTTCCTTCTTTCAGGGTGTCTTTTCGGGGGTCTCCCTATTTCAATACACACATATTTAGATGCGTGGATATACTAGTGCTTGATCTGGTAAACACACTGACTTTTTCACAACCACACACATACACACCTCTAGTGAGCATCCTAGCACCGGACATCTCCAATGGCGTCCACCTCCATGTCTGTTCTCTGGCTTTTGCAAAACTGTACCAAACGTATTACCCCTATCCAGCAGGACACTTGAAGCCAAAAGTCAAACGCGGTTGATTCTGATCGAGCACCACCTCTGCTTCTCAACTCTTGAGGTTCTCCCAAATACCGGTACAACTATATATAAATGTTTCCATGTTGGACAACAAGGGCAAAGTTGGACACCCATACCTCTTGTGGGTGTCGGGTTTCAAAGGTTTGCCCTTTTGCGCGCGCGGTTGCTGACTGGGCCGGCAAGCAATAAAGGCTGCATGGAGAACACGGCCTGAAAAAGAATCGCTGCGAGTGATCACTTGGGAAAGCATAGTGAAAGCCGTTGAAAACTCCTGGATACCTCTAAGGTTCACTGATGGTTTGAGCTAGTAGGATTCCCACCAAGGAATTTTTCAAATTGACAGCTCAGCTCACGTGGGCATCAATATCGCGTGACCAGGATATGTGAGGTCTGTTTCTTGCATGACCTTCGGCAGCCCGAAATCTCCCAAGGATGGAGAGCAGCCCAGCAGTTGACTATACACTCTACATCTGCCGCTATTATCCCACATCATCCCATATCCCTTGTTCTTTAGCAATCAGAGTTCCTGACCACCTCTCACGTGTTGTTTTCCAAAATATGGCCAGCGTGGTGCGTTCACCGGTGAAAGAAGAAGCGCGGCCTTGATGGCCTGATGATCCGAAAGTGGCACATCTATGGCAGCCTGTCGGCCGGCAGCCCATCCGGTCGCCGTTCCGCATGGCGGTGTGTTTTTTTGGGCGCTGTTGGCAATGTCACTCTTTGGGGTGGGCTGAAGTTTAGGGAAGTGAATACACTACACTACAAGTAATTACTGGTGTATATATAGGTGCTATGTTCATATACAAAACAAAAGTTGAAGACATTTTTGCTGCTCCAAACCAAAGTGAGCATTTTGCAAAGACGGGTTCCCCCCTCTTCGGCATTGAACAACATCTGTGAACCCCTCAAAGACAGGTTCCGTCGTGGCAAAGCAGGAAATTGATTGTGGACCGCCAGGTCGCAGAAGCACGTGACGCAAGGATTGGCTGCCATGTCCTCTCTCTCCATGGTCTGCCCAACGAGTGTCTGTTGCGCAAACGGGATTCCAGCCGATGCCAAAATGAATTGCCAGTAATAGTAAGTTGGCCGTACACCAGCAAGTTTTGGGGCATTTTGTCCTCAGGCCGAGAGCTTTCCGTCCACCTCACCAATCACGTTGGCCGTGGCCATGGCTTCCACTGAAAGGGGTAAGACCTGCAGCGGTGGATGGGATGGTCGCAGCTCGAAACAACGCCAACGCAAGGATTGTTTACTTGTTTGATATGCCAAAAGGTGTGAAATCATCTACAGTACTTGGTTGTTGATCTTAAAGTTGCGACAAAGCTCTTGAAATGTTTGCTTGGAAGTCTTATGCACCATACGATGTCAGAACACCTTTGGCATGGGATACGTACAAACGGATACAACCGGTTTCAACTGCTGTCAGTTGTGTTTTCCGTTTCAGGATGTTACAGGCAACTCTAAAATGTTGCGATTAAATAGGGGACACTCTTTTCAGCAAGGTATGCACATGTAATTTTGCTTGTGTGAACAGTGGCCCAGTCTGCTTGCAACACTGACATTCTGGGATATTTTGGGAACACCCCGGGAAACACCATGGAACACTAGCAAAAGGACTCCAAATAGAAACCAGAACACCTGTGGCACACTCTACAGGTACAGGCTGCTGAGAACTATTGTTTCTCTGGAACCTCCACGTGACAACCAGCGCAACATATCAAAAGCCTGGCAACAACAGCGCAACAGAGCGCCACATCGCCACGGAGAACACACCCAAGTCTTCCAGAAAATCGTTAAAACCAAAAAAAACATGACCTGGCACGAGTGAATATATATCGGTCCGGTCTTCAACGTCTGGCCGGAGAAATGCCTTGTTCATAGTTCTTCACTGTTGTTCAGAGTCATGACCTTAAGAAGCTCTTTCAGTGCCCTTCATTAAGTGTTCGTTCTGGCCGGTGTCTGTTGGCTTTTGAGAGAGTTAGAGCGCAAAGAGTTGTGAACTTTTTCATGGGGAAAAGTACAGGGCTGGAGCTGAAACAAAAATGCACCCAATGTGCCGGATTCACAGCACATCGGGATACACCGAACTCCCAACTCCCTTCTACATCGGTCCTTGCGGTTGGTGGCCATGAAGTCCGACAAGAAGCCGAAGAGGCCTCGACAATGTAAGTGCTGATCAGAGTGTAAGTGGACCTTCATCCACCAAGAGGACCAAATCACTGATTCCCATTAAGTTCTCGTTGCTTTAAAGGTGATCAATCTTTCTGTCCAAGATTCAGAATCCTTTCAAGACTGGAACACCAGAATGTCTGGACCTGGATCTCTTTCTTGTTCACCAAGGTCTCGCCCCGAGACTCCCATGATCCAGACCACAACCGCGCATGAACCAGAGAGTTCCCACAAAGATTTCCGACCCTTCGACCAAACCACATGACCCAATGCACTTCTCTGCGAGGCAGAAACGACAAAGCATCCCGCCTGCTTAAGTCTCGACTCTCCACAGAGCACCATCTGAGTTCTCGACAGCTGGCAGGCACCACGCTCTCGTCGTATGCCAAAGACCAACCAAGATCCTCCAAGGTGTTCAGGGGTGCCTGTCCAACACCATCGCGCTGGCGACGAACAGCCGCACAAAAAGAACAGCACAAACTCCAAGAGAGGAGGAGGATTTCTGCTTCTGTTCGGGATGGTGATGGTCTGCGAACAACAAGGGCAGTTTTTTTCCTGGACACTGTTGCCTTTGCAGCTTGAGGAACATCCAGGCCAAATGGACCAGACCTGCAAGTTGCTGCTTCTGCTGTGATTTGAAACTTGTGACGAAAGAAACATTTGGAACTTGGATGAACTTGCGTTAAAATACAATGGGACGAATTGATTTTTCTTGCATGTGTTTCCATGTTCACTAATTACTCCTTTGACATGGAAATACACGGAATGTACTGGCGTTCCTTCAATTCAATGGACAGTTGTGCGCAATAATCTAGAACAAAATGTTTTTTGTTGGGCACTTAGGCAAAGTGAAGCGCGCACCCGTGCCCACATGATCGGATTCATTTAGACAATGCAAGTAATATAATGCAATATACTAATGCAGATTAATATATATAATTATCATTTTTTCAGGCACACTGTGTATATGTTCAGGGGCCAAACTCTCCCGTATCTCCTCTTACAAATCACTCCAGCCATGGTGAAGCTCTCGTGAAAGCTGAGCATCTAAGGTCTTTGCACAGCGCCAAAGTCCCCAACCAGGAGGACCAAATCGTCCTGAAGACTTGGTTGTTGCGACGTCCCTGATGTTGACTCCAAGTTCAACCCATCCAGTCACATCGGTCACACCCATCCGAAGGAACAATGGCATCTTCAGTCTAAAAAGAGAGCTGATTATGTTCAAGACGACACTCCAAAATTCATCCAATATCGCTGCCCTTCATCGGAGTTGATTCACCTCAAAACAACCATATATGAAAAGCATCCGACAATGGACATATATATAATACACATCAAACGATATGTCAAGTTCCAAAATGAAGTTCTTTCTGGTGCAATGTCGGAGCCAAACGGCATGGATTCCGAAATAGTCCAACAACTCAAGCTGCACACAGCCCCTGCCACTCACTTCTGATCGTTTTCTGTCAAAACCTTGCAGTCAACTTGCTTCTGCCCTTCCCAGCGACGCAACATGGTTCCAACAGCGCCGCAACCAGCGACCACCGTGGGACCCATCCTCGGTGGTGTGCTGTGAGGCGAGATCTGCACAGCGAGCCACCTGCCGACTCCTGGGAAGCGGCTTAAGAGAGGAGCTGGATAATAGGGTTCGAAGATATTAATTGGTGATAAAATGTGATAAACATGCTTTTTTCCTTTAGGGGGCGGGGGTAGGGTGGTAGAAGAGGGAGGTAGTAGCTAGGTCCAGGTAGCTATTTGAAGCTAGGTAGCTAGTACCTTACTTAAGCTACTACTAGTATCATGGACGCAGGATAGTTCGCGCTTCTTCAAGGAAGCTCCCCCGCCTGAGGGCGGCTTTCCATGGTGTTTGAATGTGTTCCACTTCCATCGCTGGATGAACCGGAAGGAGGGTTTCTCAGAAGTATTGCACCCATTCAGCTTGACCATACTTGACCAATATTCACCCGCCATAGCCCACCATGAAAATCCATCGCAATGCGTGGCAGGTCTCAACTACAAAGCGCGCTTCCAGTTTCTATACTCAAGGGTCATTCATGTTGATTTGTCCGTAGCAAAATATGGGCATGTGTCCTGCCTACACTGATTGGGAAGTGGGTTGGGGTTCCATTCTCGTGGAGTGTCCGCCCGGTGTCCCCCAGTCGACTGGAGCGGTCGTGGCACACCGCTTTTCGCCCGGTGTTTTGCACACCACTCGCAGAGCGAAATCTCAAGGAGCCAAGAACCAGCCGAGGAGTTTGGGGCACTTCAACAGTTGAACGGTACGAATACACATATAGTATCACATAGTTATCGATGGTTAAACCACTGGCAGCATCATCAAGAACTGGCAGGTGTCGGTAGGTGTTGGCACACGCAAATAGGTAAACGGTTTGGTTTGGCATACAATGTACAATAGGTGTGGCCTGCAATATCCTCTGACCTCTTAGCTCCTCTCACCATTCTTCTTTGAGTGTCTTTTGCACGAGAGGCCTGACTGGATATGATTGATTGCCAATGGGACTAGCTCACTCGGCTCTCATCTGAGGAATTTCTACACATTGTCATGCCGCCATCTGACACAAGGTCAGCTTTTGGTTTGTACCCTTGTGAACACCCCAATTGGGATGAAGTGACAGCACTGGTGCTTGAGAAGTCGCCGAGCCACCCGAGAGACCAGGAGCAAATGGAGCAATTGGCCAAGTCGGACCATTTGGCTCATCCGTGGGCGAAATGACACCAATCACAGCCGTGCCTATGCTGCCTGTTGCAGTTCTGTGTGTAATGTTAACAAAGCAAGCGATTCGTAGGCCAACCCCGTTGCCCTGTCATAATGTTTCTACCATCTAGAGATATGAGATATGCAGTATCGCAGTATACAGTAAAATGTTGGTTGTGGGCTTTTGCGGGTAGAGTGCAAATCTCATCAAATATACTTCAACACACTTGTTCCACTGGCTTGATTCAGCTACACAAGTCAGTAAACAACAAGGTCATGCAGCCTCACACAAGTCACTCAGTACCGAAGACTGCGAGGTTCAAGTCTTCTCGGCACACTTTCGACTATCACACCAAAGCTCAACATCTAGGAAGCAACTCCAGCATCAAGAACTGATATATAGATTATTATGAATACATATATATATATATATTCACTACTCTGGACGCCATCGCTAGTAGGTTGGAGGCCATCGCTGTTAGGTCTCAGGCCATCCCTACTAGGGTGGACGCCATCACTACTAGGGTGAAGGCCATCGCTAGTAGGTTGGAGGCCATCACTACTAGGGTGAAGGCCATCGCTAGTTGGAGGCCATCGCTACTAGGATGGAGGCCATCGCTGCTAGGTTGGGGCCATCGCTACTATAGGTTGGAGACCATCGCTACTAGGTTAGAGGCCATCGCTACTAGGGTGGAGGCCATCGCTACTAGGGTGGAGGCCATCGCCAGTAGGTTCGAGGCCATCGCTACTAGGTTGGAGCCATCGTTAGTAGGTTGGAGGCCATTTCTACTAGGGTGGAGGCCATCAGGCCATCGCTAGTAGGGTGAAGGCCATCGCTGGTAGTAGTAGGTTGGAGGCCATCGCTGTGAGGTTGGAGGCCATCCCGACTAGGGTGGAGGCCATGGCTAGTAGGTTGGAGGCCATCGCTAGTAGGTTGGAGCCATCGCCAGTAGGTTAGAGGCCATCGCTAGTAGGTTGGAGGCCATCGCTACTGGAAACAATGAAAAGGAAGAAAAAACGACTTCACTACTCTGGACGCTGCATTATTTAAACCCACTTCGGACCACAATGGTCCCACCACAGATCGTGGGCTCCTCTCATCGGCCAGTTCGGACAAGAATCGTTCGTCCTGCATCACGGAAGGTGTCCGATCCACGATTGGTGACAAATGATCCATCAGTGCGATTGTGGTTTAATTAATGCTTGGATTCTAAACAAATCTGATACAATAGTACGAGTACCAACGTATATTGCTTGCTCTGGCCGTTTGTTTTGAGGAGCTGGCCATTCGATGCTTTTTCAGACGCGAGCTGTGCGAGCACATCCCGCTCGCCTTTCAGATATATTCATTGCTAGAATCTATATGTTCAACAGTGTTTGGGGTAGAGCGACTACTCTCCTCTCTCTCTCTCTGCCAGAGTTGGTTTCCAATCATGTGCGAATCTGAGTTTGGGACCTTCATGCTCAGTCAGAATCCTGTTCAGAGTTCTGCTCTCTATTCCAGTCTTAGTCTCTATTCCGGTCTTGCGCAGACTCGACTCATGTCGAGCAAAGCGCTTCGATCTTCCCATCCTCGATCCTCGAACCACCTCGGTTTGTGGGGTCGAGCTGTTCATTCTGTGGCTTTTAAGTGGACACAGGAGGGTTTGTCTGGTCACCCGGTCAATGTTCATGAATCAATGTGTATATGCATGCCATAATATCAATCTATATCAATCTCATGGTTGCCTAGGTATTTAGTCAACCAATTCGCACATCCAAATCTTCTTGTCCTAGTAGAAAATGGTCCCAGTCCCAGTGACCTTGGCCAAAGTACGCAATAGTTTGTCTTTAGAATGCTTACTAACCACTATTACCTCATTATTCTTGAACGCAAAAGTCCAACTAGTACGCATGCTGTCATCTATCTTTATAAAGGTCCGTAAATGTGGTTGAACTGAAGGTATATATCAACCCAGAAAATCATGAATTGGCAAATCATGATCTGCTCTTGCAGATCCGTTGGCAAGTGTTTGACAAACATACTAAAAACGAGTTATCGTACAGCCTGATTCAGTTCCGTCTTGGTCTCCAACCATAGACTAACCTACACTGGCTTGAGATCTTAGGCCTGTCCACCAGGATGTCTGCTTAAATTATATAGATATCATAGATGTTGCAGAAACTATTAGTGGCCATCCCATGCGGATAAACAAGACGGCATGGGTTGAATGAAAAAAAAACGATAGAACCTATCGTCAGCCAAATGGATGAATACTAAGAGCACTACAGTCACAACAGACTGCGATCCCTTCAGCATCTCAAGCAGCTTCACCTTCATTGTGGACAAGATACTCAATTGAGTGTTCATGACGAAGACGCATGGCCCCTGGACAAACAAATGTTGGAAGCACATTCCCGGCCTGACTATCTGTTCTTGGGTGGTAGCACATCGCACTGAGAAATGCAGGGGCTCTTGCAATACACCACATGTCAATCGAAATGTGTTACTTATTTGCAAACACTCAGGAAGCTTAAAGTGAAATGCAGGCTGGTGGATTCGTCATGCTTAATTTCAACAGCAAAGGCCCCAAGTACACCAAAGGCCCCAAGTCAGCACCTGTCTGGATGAGAAAAAAAAGTCAGGTTCCATATTTTGCTCGACTGTCTCAGGTTTAGCACGGAGCCTGCCTCTGTTCCTTTGAGACAAAGCCTCAGGCAACAAAATGGTTGGAGGATGTTGGAGGCGTGGAGACCACCCAATGGCCTTGCTTCCGTGAAAAAAAAAACAACGTCTTCGTATGGTACAAACAAGCCAAACAAGCAGCTCGTCGAAGTATGCGCCGCATCGAAGTTGCAGTATGCCGCCAGGCACTCTTGACTTCGAGCATTCGAGCATCAAATTGTTTCTCTCGGATTGACCACTCAAGAAACCAATCGTCATCCATGGCCACTCCCCATTGTCTCCCCCAGTCCAGGCAGGCCGTTTTTCCACACTCCGCCAGCCTCCCCACTGCCTGTTTGCGCCGATCTGGATGAACCGTCGACGGATCAGCGGGCAGCCCTGCTCCGTTGTGGAACGGACTCCGGACGCTGCAAGTATTCAAAGGTCGACGCATGTTTTTGCTCATCTCAAGACATGATTCTTTGTTGTTTCATGTTGCTCCAAAGCAAATCATCAGTAATGATGTACTATACTAATACTTATAATGTGTTCTTATCGGCTCATTCTAAAACTATTGGGAAACTACGGCCCACTCGCTTTATGTGTATGGTGTTGCTCCTTGGACCGAGACATGGTGCCGAGTGTAGACCGATGAATTCCGAATTGAACCCGCTCTTGGAAGCTTGGATAGCTTGAGACTTCAACAAAAGACCTGCTCGCGTAAGATCGCGCAAGTACGGGCAGCATGATGCTGATGCTTTCACCAGCTTTCCCACTTCTTTGATGTTTCGCAATTTATGAAATGAACCCTAGTCCTGTATTACGGTCTCAGTTCAGAATTTGATGATGAGAACTAACACGGGACCCTTCTGAAGGACCACAAGCGAAGGCCCGGAGTCTGAGAGGCCCCAGCAATCTTGGATCTTGATTGGCAAAGGGGCGTCCCCCGCTCCTAAACAAATGCTGGGCCATCCAAAAATCTGGATTCCTGGGAGGATTCCTTTTGCAATTGATTGTTGTATTCATGTTTCTTTCATAGGTTGTATTCATGTGTCTTTCATAGGTTGTATTAATGTTCCTTTCTCCGGTTCTTAGTGGTTATTCTCAGCAATCCTTTTGCTATGCAGCCTCAGGGCCTTCCTGGTCGGGTGCCTTCCTGGTCTACCTTCATTGAAAATTTATTTGGGGACAATCTTCACATCAAGGATTGCTAAAGGACTTGATGGCTTTGCGAAGCTTTCAGTTTTGAAGAAGAACTAGAGAAACCTATATCAATTACCCATGCTTTATATATCTATATATAGTAGTATTGTTATATTGTATTATATAAGATCTCAGGAAAGGATCTACTGTATTTTCCCTGGATTGACAACCCATTAAACACATTATTGATGATCCGGAGTCTTCTTGGCCAAGAACAAGGTTGTGACATCTTGTAGTGGTTTTGCTGTTTAATGGTGCTTTTTTGTTTTGCTTGCTGGTTGCCTTGGAAGAGAGGGTGAGTGCAGGTGAACAGGGTTCAGAAGGAATTAACATCCAAATTAGCTTTCAGATAACAAAAAATAGTAATGCATATTATACCTTTTAAATAGCCCACATGGTGGTGAAACACAAATTCCAAACGCGAATATTGATGAACCGTTTACTAATCGTGATCCAACATTAGTCCTCAAGGACCAGTGATGTCAATTAAAGTTTTATTCATGGTCACTTCTGCAGGGGATCAGTACACTAACTTTGACAAACACATCTGAGAACGTGTCACCACCGCTGAGTGTGTGTTGTTTTTGAGAAGCCTCACTGCCCGTATATCTGAGTACTTGCTTCGTATTGCATGTTCCAAGCTGCGAACAGTCTGTCCGCCTATCTCAATGACTTCTGCAACGGGCAAACCATTCTCCGGCTTTTCGGAACCAAAAATTGGTTCACTGTCCTTTTCAACAGGAACCAGGAATCTGCATGCAGCAAAAAACAAGGTCAGCTGCTCACATTCTTTCAGGCATGTATTTTCCTTTGGGGTGTGGTAGGGTCTTGCTCTTGAAGCGCCATTTGCCAGTCCGGCACATATTCAAGCACTGCTGAGGTTTGTTACAAACAAAAACATCCAAGGGTACGCCGGTTCTCATGTGGTGGGAAAAACATCTACTTGCTCGAAAACGGATTCGTCCTGTGGGCACCTTACCAATCTTTCCTTGCACATCCGGAGCAGTACCTGTCATTAGGAATATGTCAGATTGGAACTGCTACAACTTTTCCCAATCTGCGCGTCACCCTCCACACTCAAAGCCCATACAGGGCACCCGGGTCGCAGCTGACCTCAGCCTACCGTACCGCACAGTCCACTCCGGCGGGAGCCTGCCCACTGGCCAGGGACACGATGCTGTGGTGCCTTTCTGAGGGGGTTGGATTCATGGAGGATGGACACGGGCACAGTACACTCAGCACGGTGACGTTGAAAAGTCCGCTCTTTTTGCAATATTGGGACAAGTTCTGAATCATCCCATTCGCGGGTGGTGTGATGCAGCTCTGCCAACATACTTTACCATGTCTTTTCCAGTGGCGACAAGTATGTTTCATGTGCATTAAATGTGCGGCATTCTGGTGGGACACCTTTGTGGTGCAAATTTAAAAAACGCTCGTGCTTGACATTCGTACTCTTGTAGGTGCGCATTACCATAGTTTCTTGCGCATCCGACACACACGATCTCCGCAGAGGTTTGCGTTTCGTGAGCATCGGCTGGACCAGACCGCTGCGTTAAGAAGATTCGAAAGATGTCGAAGTTGTAGTTGTGTGAGTTTTGTGTGTATCTGAACACCTGTGTCAAAACAACTGTATCATCCTGTATCTGTGTAGCTGTGTTGTCACAGTTGCATCAACTGCATCTATGAACCTGTATGATGATGATGATGAGGAGGAGGAGGAGGAGGAGAATGATGTGATTACTGGTGATCTCGGTGTGTTGTAGCACTTGCATCATCCGAATCTCAACACCTGCATTGTGATGATGACTGTGATGCTGATTTACAAAGCAAAAAATATTACTAAATAACAAAAAATGCTGATGTGAACAATGCGATTGTGCTGATGCTGATGATCCTGAAGATTATACAATTATGAGTACACTGATGATGACGATGTGATGATGATAGTGAGGTCGATGATGTTGATGTTGATGACGATGACGATGATAATGATGATGATGTCGACGATGGTTGGATTGTTGAAAATGGCAGCAGTTCTTTGAGGAAAACACTTAGCAGGCGCTTTCGGGTAAAATCATTTACACATTTGCTGGGTCAAAAAGCCAAACGTGACTTGCAGCAGTTACAATGGTCAACAAAGGACCGAGGAGGGGAAAGAGAACAAAGATGGTACGACGTTCAAATCATTGCAGGATAGTGCATCCAACATATCTCTGTGTGGTGCAAAGAGTTCCAAACAAGCAGTCATCAGTTCTAATGGTAGGCAATACTATATTGGCCTATCCTATTGTTCGAAGCTGAAGGTCTACAGTAATTCATTCAAATGTGTCAGCTCTATGGCCCCAGGTCAACGCTGTGGACAGATTTCATTGGACAGGCGACAGTTCGACGAGTCTAATTTCATCCAACTGGTATGCTCTGTTTGTCAAAGCATGTTGGAGCTTGGATCGTAGTGGCTCGGGTGAAAGGAGCACAAATCAATGCTGAACAGAATCCAGAGCAGCCCGAGCAAACAGCCTAAAAGGAACAAAAACTGGATGTCCCATCATCTTGGGGGAACCCACACCAACACAAACAATGGATCCAAACCTCCAAACAACCGTGGAGGTACGGACACTTCAAGCGAGAGGTGAAGATCTTCAGTGACTCGTTCATGACCATGACCTCTGGAGTGTAGGCCATCGCTATTAGGTTGGGGGCCAGGGGGCCTGCAGCATCTGGCCGGACATTCCGAGCTGGCACGAGGTTCATGAAAGCAAATACAGTCCCATATGGAGTGCCTGGGATATGCCCGACCCAAAGACTTCAGAGTCAGGTACCTGAAGTCGATCTCCTTGTGCCCCAAGGCAAATTTTGAGACTCTTCCCGGTTGTTTAGCACAACAAAGAAGACGAAACAGGCCCGTATGCTCTGACTCTACAATTTACTTTTTGGTGTCCTATTTGTTGTGGGTCATGAGTGTGTATAGAACTAGGGTGAACCCTACAAACGCCCCTGGAAGGAGGAAGAATCGACACTCTCTGAAACTGACAGTGCAGAAAACCGTTGAAAATCATATATCTTCGAACATGAACTGATTGAAAATCATATAAACTCATAATATACAATTTGGTAACACAATGCACTAACACATCATCTTCTCATCCACTCAGAACACAATGACCCCACCAGGTCCCACCAAACACTAAAGCAAATTGCACGCTCTCGCTTTGCTATTGTCCAATTTCGCCTCAGGTTTGCCCCGAGCAAAGACAGCCGTCCGCCGTCTAATGTTGAAATATTGAAAAAGGCACACTGTTGCGGCGGGCAATGGTGTGCATGGCTGTCTCTATGCATGATTTATCCGCGGCTTGACAAATGTGGATAAAGCACGCAAAAACAAGTATTGATACGATGTGTTTAACACGTTTAGCTGGGTTGCTTCGGGTTCACAATTCCGCCAGAAGGACCAAGTTCAATTTTCTGGAGACAAAATGAGAAAGGTTCAGAAACGATCCGTTGCATTTACAGTTCTGAAGACCTGAAGAACTACTTGGTAAACAAGTGAGCATACCCTGGAACTGACCATTGGATATCCTGCAAGACAAGGAATACAAATTAGAATATGTTTGACCAGTCTTCTTGTAAAATATGTGTTCAAGTGTCAAATTGAATATAAACTGCATGGCCAACTCACCTGACAGTGTGCCGTAAGATTGGGCCATCACCGCATTGCCATCCCACACGAAGCAATGCGCACAGTGGTGTCAGCAAAACTGTTTTGCGCCACTGAAAAAGACCCGGAGATCAAATCTGTTCCAGGTCTCTTAACCCGGATCCTTCCAGTCTTGAGCAGACCTGAAAGG